TCGCGGTTGTTGAATTTCAGTGGTTGGCTTGCCTTCTTTGTCTTTGACAGGCGCCTCTGGTTTACTGTATTTCCCTGATAGTTTCTTCGTTGTATCGTAAAGCTGTTTCATATTTCCTTCTCTAGCAGCTTTTTCTGCCGTCGTTGCTAATTCTTCCACGTATTTCTTCCTGTCGGCTCTAATGCTCCTCTTCACTTGCTTGTTTGCTTCTATGTATTCAGCTTGTGCTTCAGTCAGTCAGTCAGCTACAACGTAGGACCAGGCACATATGTGCATCGGTCCAGGTTGCCATACCTCATTAGCACAGCAAGATGAACAGCGGATTCATAGGAGTGGTTAGGTCAAAGGTTGCAATAAGGATATAGTATAGGAAGAAAGAATTAGTTCGTAGACAGAAAGAATGAAGTGATTTTAGTCTCTTAGTTTAAAAGAAGACAGGGAGTGTATACACCGACGCCATTGTGATCGATTCTGAGCCATGTCACCAAGAGTCTCCAACCATTGGTTACGAAAGTCACGCGGACCCCAACCAAGTAGTCTGCATCTACCAACATGGCTCAGACTAGAAGTTAGTGACTTCAAGCACTGATGCCGCGTTTTGGTTTGGCCGCCCCTAACTTTCTTCCAACCATCCCCTACCCCGGTTAGCATTGCACGTCGTGGTAATCGGTGTTCAGGCATACGTAATACGTGGCCCAACCATCTCAGTCGATGAAGATTCACAACCTCATCAACTGATTTACCATCATTCCCTAATACCCTGCGTCTAACCTCACTATTACTTACCCGGTGATCCCAGCAGATGCCAGCTGGGATCCTTTCTTTGATCTTGTCCAGTGTTTCTATAGAGATCCATTCCTTATGATGGTGTTTCTTTAGGCCCAGAACCTATTGACACGTTGAAGTCAATGTTTCTTTGATGCCTTTCCAGTTGTCCTCCATGGTAGTTTCTTCTTCCTTCAGTAGATCTTGAAAGGCTTGGAACCTGTTGTTGAGAGCTATCTTGAATTCATTAAGTTTGTCAGTATCTCGAAGGAAGGCTGTATTGAACCTTTGTAGTGCTGTTTGTCCACTTGTCCAGTACTTTTTTAGCTTCAGTTTTAAATTGGCTACAACTAGGTGGTGATCTGAAGCTACGTCAGCTCCTCTCCTGGTTCTCACATCTTCCATTGTCCTTCGGAATTTTTTGTTGATGCAAATATGGTCTATCTGGTTCTCTGTAGTGTGGTCCGGTGAGATCCATGTAGCCTTGTGTATACGTTTGTGTGGAAATATTGTGCCTCCTGTGACTTATTTGTTGAATGCACACAAATTTGCAAATCTTTCTCCATTTTCGTTCCTCTCTCCCAGTCCATGTCGTCCCATAATATCTTCATATCCAGTGTTGTCTGTTCCGACCTTGGCATTTAGATCTCCCATCAGAATGGTGAGGTCCTTTCTTGAGCATTTCTCTATGATTGACTGCAGCCGCTCGTAGAATTGATCTTTAATGTCGTCGTTGCTATCATTGGTGGGTGCATAACATTGGATAATATTCATTAAGATCCCCTTCTTCTTTGTTTTGAATGATGCTTTGATGATTCTGGATCCGTGAGATTTCGTGCTACTTTGGACAGCATAAGAGCGACTCCCTGAGTGTATGGAGCATTGTCCTCTTCGTGATCGGAGTATAGCAGCATCTCTCCCGTAGCCAGCCTTTTCTGTCCAGCTTGGGTCCAGTGAGTTTCGCTGATTCCCAGTACCGCCAAGTTGTATCTCCTCATTTCCGTTGCTATTTGACTGGTCTTCCCGGTTCCCCACATTGTTTGAACGTTCCATGTACCTATAAAATTTTTTGCTCTGGTTGTTAGAAGGGGCATCGGCCTCGTGGCTTCCGAAAGAAACTCGGCCTCCACCAAGAAGCGTCATAATTCTTCTAAATGAAGACATTCATACTCTCAGGGCAGAGTTTAGATGGTTTGAATTATTTTTTCTGGTAAGCGTTTTTTTAGCGAGTTAGTTTTCTACGGGATGGAGACGCTAACCCCATGCCCAACCCTCCTCCTTTACCCGGGCTTGGGACCGGCAGTAACTCTAGAAGAGCTACAGGCGGAGTTATAGTGACTAGTAGTGGAATCCAGGACACGCGTTTCGTCCTGTTTGGGAGTCGTCAGCTGGATGTACCTGCACTTCAGAGTTGATGTTCACCCTGGGACTCGAACTCAGTACCGTTCGCTTCAAACGCCATTGCGTTATCCACTTAGCTACCGAGTCCTATTTCAAACATACTGGGTTTATATACCAATCAAATAGACCACATTGTACCATAAAATAGAAAATAACATTTGTACAAAATTTGGCCAAATAATGTGGCTGTGAATGTGGGAGGCAGTGACTAATAGACAGGGCATAATTCAAGAATAGTAAAACGTGTAATAATGGTTCATAAGTCAAAATAAAGCTTATAATAAGAGAAATATGAATAGTTTACTCACTTTACAATTACGCAATAAAAATATATGTTTAGTATTGTTCCATAAAAGGATCCTAAAGTTACCATCCATTATGTTTGTCGGGACCTAACAGTTTACTCAAGAAGTTAAAGAAAATTTCGAAGGTTCTTCATAAAAGCATTTCAGGGAGGATGAGGGTATGCAACCATCTCTCTTCGTTGTTGTAAGTGGAGTGTAACACATGAAATCAATCTATGTATACTGAAATACGGAACCGTTTGTGCCATTTTTGGCCACCTTTCGCGTTGTCATGATGTTTGTCTAGCTGTAAAGACTCGAGTTTACAACCCGTCAGCGAGAGAAGTTTAGTCCAGTGTTTTTATGAAACCTGATCTCCGAGTAGAAAGTGGTCCACAACTCTTGATGTTTGGTCAACGTCGTCCCCCAAGGATTGTCTACATCCAACTGCAACACCATGGTAACAATACTGATGTTCGGTAATGTGTATTCAGGCAGTGACAATAGTTCAGTTAGTGTGACCATCTTGAAACATCGACTTCGGTGACTTGGTCACATGGTCCCGAAGTTTTCCACACTGTACATTATTTGTGAAGTCTAGGATTGGATGAGAAGAGCATATAGGTGTCCAGTTTTTGTATGCATGATATGGTGACATGGTATAAAGAATAGTTGTGCAGGACTAACATTTGTCAGGCAGTTGATTGCACGATTTCATCTTATAATTCTTTACAGCCTTATAGCTGTATTTTGTGTAGGGCATGATTTTCTGTGCATTATTCTATACACTGTATATTATGTATTACTTTTTAATCGATCGATTTAGTTTCATTTTATAATATGAACATTTACACTTGAGGTTCATATCCAATAATCTGAAATACTTCCTAGTTTTCACCATTTGCTACAACTCAACTCTACTAAAATATTAGTAGTTATAAGTATGTATAAAGACTAATAAATGTCGTTTATTCTTTATTAATGTACTAATATGCTGTAAATCTATTAATTTAGTCATGTGACTATCAATAATATACTACTGTTTTACTTTAGATTTATATCAAGGTCTATTTAATCTTATATATATAATTAGTCACTGTTGTCAATGCAGACTTTCTTCTCTAGAAACTATTTGACTGTTTTTTTCTTTGATCGATGTAATTTTATGGTATGATTAGGTATTTGCACAATGCTAGTAGTATTTTGTGTTCAGCACAACTATCAATGCAATGCAGTGGTTGACCATTTGTGCTCCATTGTATTCATCTAATAAGGTATACTTTTATATATAAATCTATTGTACTCATTAAAGTTTAACTTTTTTGTGTATCTATTTGTATCACTGTTGAGTTACGCCCCTACATTGGTTGGTTGTAGTAGTAGTAGTAATGTTATTGTGAATAAGTAGTATTTGTTGTAGTTATCTTGTTAAGAAAAGAAGAAATGATTAAACATTATTATAATTTTTGGTGACAAGTTTAAAAGCAAGTAATGTAATTACTCCTTCACTAATAGGTTTTTGTGTGTCAAACAAGAACAAACTGATTAACAAATGTTTATCTATTTTACTCTCATGACAGTACATTTATTGCCAAAATGGAATAAGCGCAAAGAATGCGCAATAAGATAATCCTGTCGTTTTAAATAGCATAAATATTTATCTCTTTATCTATAAATGAGTAAACACAAATTCTCTCTGTGTATATATATATTCATCGATTTATTTAGGTCATACAAGGCACTCTTGGTAAAGTCGTCTCCCACTACTACTGACGATGTTTTCAGTTGAAAATAAATATAAGATGGATTATCGTCTACCTTACTGTATGTATTTTAGATAATAACGATGTGCGCTCTTAATAGGACTCCTTCACCAGGTAGATATAAGTCCGTTTATTTAGTTTCAAAATATATTTTATTTTTGTAGAGTCTTAGTAATCCTACTACTCTTTCCAAACAGAAGTAGGTAGAATAATGAAGTTCGATCTTTTAAACCTATTGATTCAGAGCCGAATACATGAACCACTGCTCCAAATTTTTGTCAAGAATCTAGACATTTTATTCGTAAAACATTTTATAAAGCATATATGTGTCTGACCGCTGCTTTCGATTGTAATCGCCAGATTACGGTGGTCGATCTTTTATATATATATATATATATATATATATATATATATATATATATATATATATATATACTGCTTCGTAATTTCCTTTGTTATTGTCATTTTGTTTCACACTCACGACATATCACTCAATCAAATGCTGAGAGTGTGGATCATTAAATCCCTGCTCTGTAATAATTTTTTTTGGTATTTTGTGTTCTTCGAGCTGGTTCATTTGATTGCGAACCTTTCACTTGATTTCTGAGCATAATCAGGGTTTACTTCACGTAAAGTCGACGTTTTAGTCAATACATAATTATCTACCCTGATAATTTTATCGGCAATTTGTTGTTTTCAATGGTTTTATCATCCGTTTACCTTTGCATTCCTGTTGATCAGTTTGTTCTGTTGACCCTTGATTCTTTGATGTTTTACGCTTAACCAGGTGATTGATCTCCATATATCTGTGCTTACTGAACAAACAATGGCCTGATGTAACGCTTCCAAAAATCTCCCTAATCCACGATTTTAACGTTTATCTAATCGAATTCACGTCTGTTATTAACATTGGGATAACAGCTCGTATCGTTTTACTAACAATTTGTGTTCATGTATGTCTAAACGGAGGAGGTTTCTATTTTGTCCAATAATATTTTTAATCTATGTAAAATGCAATAAAGCATTTCTGTTTGTTTGTGATATGATGGAATATCTTCGGCTCCTTTTAAACCTTTTGCAACTTCCTCGAGTTCACCCGTGGTCCGTCGTCACACCTCTCCCATTCAAAGTCTACTGTGTAAGACTTTTCTCGGACTCACCTGAAACTTGGTTGCCGCATTCCTCTTGTTGTCCATCGCTCTCGAGGGATGTACTGCTTTGCCCTTGCGTCGTTTGTCTCTTCTATGTTTGCACTCCTGAGGGCTTTTCTGAGATGCATCCACGAGCAATTGAAATGAGAGTCGGCTTTCTGGAACCACTGTACTGCCATCTCTTTGCATTTGATTTATGTCTTATACATTTTCCGACACCTTTCCGGACTAGGTACAGTACATTTCTGATTCGACGTTCTGTGACACCTGGTTCCCATTTCCTATTACCTTGATACCATTTGACAAGTACCTTTTCACCCACTTGGAAGCTGCGAGTGACCGTACGATATTCATTCGTGTGTTTATTTGTCTTTCTGGGCGGCAACATACTGTTAAAAACCGTCCTGATTTTCCTTCCAAACATAAACTCGGCTGGCAACTTTCCTTCTCGTACTGTCGGATTAGAGGTAACTCTGTACGACATTAGGAAATTACTGATCACTTTTTCTGGGTTACCCTCTCCTCCCCATTTGACCGGAGCTCTTTTTATCGTATCCACCAATCTTTCTGCTTGGCCATTCGAATAAGGATGGTACGGAGTAGATTGTAGATGCGATATGCCATTTTCACTGCAAAAGCGTTTGACATAAACTGAGTACCGTTGTCAGTCACTAAGATCTTCGGAACCCCGAAACAAGCAATCAATTTTGACAATCTTCTTATTGTACTCTCTGATGTCGTTTTCAGCACGTCATATACTTCTGGCCATTTTTTGGAAGCATCGACAACAACTAAGTAATTTCTGCCTTGTATTGGTCCTGTGGAATCAGCGTGTATTCTTTGCCAAGGCCCGTCCGGTTTTGGCCATGGTTGTGGTTCAGCTTTGAATTCTTCGCAGCCCCTGGACAGGACCAACAACTGCGACATTTTTGTTCTATATCATGGTCCATTGACGGCCAGTATGCATAGCTACTAGCCAGTGATTTCATTTTACTTGTCCTCAGATGCCCTCTGTGAAACTACTTTGTGACTTGATGTCGGAGATTTCTAGGGATAACGATACGGTGGCCAAACATGATGCACGAATCGACAACTGTTAAGGACTGTCGTCGACGAAAATATTGTAAGAGCTCTCCATGTAGTCTAGATGAAGGGCACTTGTTGAGTATGCAGTAGCGAACAATCTTCAATGCATTATCCTTCTTGCTAGCTTCTTTAATGGCTTCGAATGTGACCGGGAGTCCGGAAACTGCATCTGCCAATACTTTGTGAACCTCAGCCTCGACATCTATGGCAGCTACAAGCACCTCCTCTTCTTGTTTTGCATGCGAACCAAACAATCATGATAGGGCATCTGTCTGTCCAAAATCCGTTGTTGGTTGATACTTTATCTTGAAATCACAGCCCAGCAGTGTAGTTGCCCATCGCTGCAGCCTGTTTGCTGTATATACAGGGATACCTTTTTTGGATTCAAAAACTGTCAGTAACGGTTTGTGGTCTGTAAGGTGAACTGTCTGCCAAACAGCATCTTGCGGAACTTTTTCACAGCAAATATAATGGAGGAGGCTTCATTCTGTATCTGACTGTAGTTTCTTTCAGTCATAGTCAGCGACCTTGCAGTGTGGGCTATTGCCTTCTCAGAGCCGTCAGGGTAGGTATGTGAAATTACTGCTCCGATTCCGTAGTTCGACGCATCTGCTGCGACTATTATTGGAATATCTGGATCATAGTGTGTAAGTAGAAGGTTTGATTATAGGAGCTGCTTTAGTTTTAGGAATGCTTCCTGGCATTCGGTTGACCAGAACCACTTGGTAAGCAATTAAGAGGAGCACGAAGGCGATACAGATCTGGAAGAAAAACGCCATAATAACTAACCATTCCCAAGAAAGAACGTAAAGTTGGTACATCCGTCGGTGGAGGCATGGACTTGATAGCTTTGACGTTTTCAGGATCACGTTTTCCGTTTTTATCGATTATAACTCCTAACTAGCGGACTTGCTCCATGTACAAATCACATTTTTCAGCACGCGATCTGAACCCATAATCTGCTATGCGTCTGAGAACTGTATCCACCTTATTCTCTAAGTCAGCATAGTCTGTACTCATGATCAGTATGTCATCGAGATAGGCCGCAGTTCCAGGAATATCTTGTAACATAGTATCCATAACTTGTTGGGAGATTGAAGGGATGGTCGTTGGGAATTGTAGAGGTCCCTCGTTTCGAGTATAAGTGATAAGCGTTTCCGACATAACAATCAGCGACGACCAGATACAAAAAGTAGCATTAAAAGAGCCAAGACAATAAGCATTCAAACAACAGTTATAACATTTGGCGACTGGGTGAAAAAAATTCTGAACTTTCAATCTTCAAATTAACGAATCAAGGTCAGCCCGTAATTGAACAAAATTCAATGTAATTATTTCGAGGAATCAGCATTCGAAATTCTCGCCGGTGTCCTTCAACGACATTGATTGTTAATTAGTCATACAGTATTTTTCATTACCGTGCTGATTCAGAAAATGGCTATCTTTTCCGATCAATTACAGTTGCTATTTGAGCGACAATAGCAGCCTTTCAAAAAGAGCCAGTTGAATGTTTTAGACATTTTATGCACATGGCTGCTAGATCATCCATGTTTTGGAGATGTGACAGTTTGATAAATTAATTTCTAATTTCCATACAGAGCTGGAAAATGACTACAGAATGTATGAACGTGTCAATAAAACCCGTAATTCTCTGATAAGCGGTAATGTAAACGAATTAGTGGCAGTCATCCATGATGCGCTCGGTGATCCAGAAATGTCCATTTCAGAGACATGCCCTGTCATGGGCTCAAATCCCATTGTCCCCGAAACACTATTTGCAAACACTGGATTGTCCAGCTCACAGAAAGACGATGTCTTATTAAGTGCTCATGAAATTATTGCAGTACCCGCCCACAAAAAAACGGAAAATGAATCAAGCATCGTAATGAGGACAGTTGCATTGAATGGAGCTCATCATTCTACGACAACAGTTTCTGATGAATGTACTGATTGGGGTTCTCTAGTTGTTTTACCAGATATGAGTTATCTCAAAGACTCATAAGCTTTTGATCAAATTTCTTACAAAAATGAAAATTTTTGGAGTCATCAAACGATGATCAAGAACCTAATAAAATTTTGATAGATGCTGGTTATTCTGGTGATCGACTATCTACTAATGAGATTGTCAAGAAATTCGATGACAATGTTCCAGAAAAATCAAACTTTGATGACCCCATATCTAGTGTCGCTGATCCTCACCATCTAGTCAGTTCTAGTGGAGTCTCTACACAATGCGGGGAATATGCTTTAAATAGAGTCAAAGTAACTGTAACTTGGGAATATGATGGTCCAACATTATTTCGTGGGGGGGGGGAGGATGAAGTCATAAAATTTAAAGATGGATCTCAGCATAGAGTTTTCAAAAAAAGAAGGGGAGGTGATATGATGGAAAGAAAAGTCAATTTCCGATTGATTTTGTGAATGACTTTTATTTCGTAGGTTTTCAGAATCCTTTTGCATTTCTCACATATAGTGGAACTATTTATTTTACGGTTTTTAGGAATGATTTTATACTGGTGTATCGATTTCTAGATACTTCATTGATGATTTTGTGTTCTATTCATGGAACTTAAAAGTTCCAGATTCCGAACATCTGTAGAACTTCGGATTTGAAGTCCGAAGGAACGAGTTAGGTAGGACAACATAGCAGTTTATTGGTGTTTAATTTCAATTTACATACTGGCTATATCCAGTTCATAATTAGTTATTTATTCTAACGATGATTAATACATGTGTAAATGTGACACTGTATTCTTCTGATTATTGTGTTTTATTTACTGTTATTTATATCATGTTTGTCAAAAGAGTTGAATAATGCACATGCACTCAGACCGAACGTGGTGATTTTCTTCAGGATCAACTCCCCTAACCCAAAGGTTTAGTTCACAAAGTAGTGAAATGGTGTCTGACGTCTCGGTCGGATTGTAGGTAGTGATTCAAATGAGTTCATATACCATTCGCTTCCATAGGATTCTGCAACCCACGCACTCTACTGATTTGGAATTTTAATTTTCCAATTCCTTTAGATGGATCTTTCTCATCCATTAACCGTGTCCACGTGACGTCCGTAAATATGACAAATAATTTTGAAGGAATTGATCCACTCGTTCTGCTGCATTACAATTTCAAAAGATAAATATTACCTGTTTAATTCAAGTGTTTTCATTTGATCTTATGCCACACTTCTATTCCTTCTAGTCCCAGCCCCGTGTTTACGTTTATTTTCCAACACACACAGCACCTCGTATGTGGTGGAATTTGTTTTCTGTCTAAATAAACTTGAGTGGCGAGACTATAATTTATGAACGAACCAATCAGGCATGGGATAACAGGTCTCGGATTTTGGCGCGAAATTCGTTCATCAATTTGGCAAAATAGGCTTTTGATATTATAGTTGATGTCAGTTCGCGATAAAAGCCCTGAATATTGTTCCTAACCTTAAATTCCAACTAAAAATCACAATTTGAAGTCCTCACACAGGTTTATAACCCTCATTTTGTCCTAGTTATTAGGTGGACACTCACAATGTCACTTTAGCGTCGCTCAAATGTTGTCCATAAATTATAGTCTCACCACTTAAGTTACTGACTGATCGAATTTGAGAATATTTTCACCGAATGCGATTCCTGATACAGCTCTTATAAAACCGTGTTTGTCACTCAAAGTGGCCTCGTTTAACGCTCGCATACTAATGCAGATAGAATAAAATATAAGTTTGACTATATCCTTGGGAAGTCTTGAGATCGATGTATTCTGTATCTGAAAGACCTGTATTCAAGACTCCATCGAAGTACTACATATTTGTTCTCAATTTGTCGCTTAGAAGTAAGTATTCTCGTACCGGTATATAAGTGTGTAAGTCTGACGTTTGTTTTGGAGTATCCATATGGACTGTAACTATGTCATTTTGTGGATCAGGCCTATTTATTATTCAGTGGTCACCAAACATCTTGTTGTAAATGGACTGATGTAACCTTTTTTCAGCCTGGACACTAGTATAAGTCCACTATCCCTTAAATAAGCAGTGTGATTTCGAGCCTAGTAACTCATACACCTAATACAGTTACGTGAATTCGGACCATATTTTATATGATCTTGTGATACTTTTAAACAGCTACCAAAACTGGTTTGTATATTCGAGTTTTTAAAAGCTGACTTTTGAAATTACTGAGCTAATATATCACTGGATATTTATTTTATCAGCCCTTGCATATCAGTGGTTTTTAGTTAGACAGATCTTCATTAGGATGAAATTCTGTCTAGTGACCTAATCACGTAGATACCAAGGTAGCTGATGAATAACAATGTTTGTAATCAGTACATTACTATTTTAATTAACTAAATCTTTTTGACGCGTATAATAGTTACTACAATGGTTTAGTGTTTTAAGTTGATTTTTTTCCTCAAGACTAACTTGTTCTCCCTCCTGAAAGATGGTAGTGATGATAGCAGTATTCATAATTCTCACTTCCATGTGATTGAATGTATAAGACCATTTTTTGTTAATGTGTATATTCTTTAAAAAATTATAGGCAATCGATACATATGAGAATTCCGAAAGAAACATTCTTACACTCGATCGACAAATTAAATCGCGTAAAGGTAAATTTTCCAAATCTGGTTCACTTATTTCACCTTTTTTAATTTACCATATCCGTATATTGTGTAATAGTAGTCGTAGTGGTAGAAGATGGGCTGACTTCTCAAGAACGGTCAATAAACATTAGAGAACAAGTCTACCAGGGTTTTCAATTTGATTGTTGTTAATGTGTGCTGGAATGTTCTGCGATGAGGTATTCATTCGTGTAATTGTCTTGTTTAAAAAAACATCTAACCGTGTTATATGTATAACTGAATGTTTGGCACTAATATGCATCAGTTGACACTGTTAGATATGAGTCAAATCATTAATGGTGTATGTAATAAAATGTACATCGAAAATAAAATCTGTTTATGGACAAGAGAATAAAAGATTGTGATATTTGCTGCGCAACTATCCTGTACAATCACCTGTCAGCTATCAACCAGGAAGTGTGCACCTCAATATTGTTTATTTTAAAAGGTGTCATTCTCTTCACGGAATGCGATCATATCAGGTTTTACCCAGACTATTGAGGTTCCTTCAACTTTGAACATTTGTCATTCAGTTTGAGTACCCAAGCAGTATTCCAGCCCTCATATAAATCGAATGATTTCTGTGGTGCCTCTTTTTACCAGTGTTTATGTGTTTAAATGAGTAAACATTCAGTTTAGGCATGAAATAATCTTGTTTATTTTTTCTTGTTTTTCACAAAGCTGAATTATTAAAACAACGAACTGAAAATGAAAAACTAAAAAAAGAAATGGAATTATTTTTCAAAGAGATGCACGATATCTGATGATAGTAACAACAATAATCTCTCTCGCTATTCACATATATTAAGATTGTTATTAGTTTATGTTGTTTTTTCATGTAGTCCCTAAACACTGACATCCTGTGTTAGCTTTCTTGAAAAAAAAGAAAGATGATTGTCTACGTCTGAAACACAGCATTGATCTATTTTAAAATCTGGTTCCTTGACGATACAATTGTCTGTCGGTAAGTTTACTTAATGCTCAGTGTTTCTTTTCAACTTTCACAAAGCAAAATGTATTTTCTGGTAATTTTCCACTTTATCAAAGAATACTACTTTACATAAAACAATCTTGTTCTCTATGAGAGTAATAATAACAATAACAACAGCAACCATAACCTTTTTTACTTCTTTTTTACTCCTTAAGTGATATTCTTGTAGTTATAAGTTATTTTGTAAAACATTCTTTCCATATTATTATGATTATCGTTATTGACTTATAAAATTTTTTTTTCTTTCAAATAAACAAACTTAATACCTTTTGTTGTAAGATTCAACTGTTTGAGTTCATTCCTATCTCTGTATCTAATTGGTCATATTTGCCAAATGTAAAATGAGAATTTTGCACTAAGAGCAATCTGTAGTCTTAAATCCCAAATTGATATATAATTTGATTTTACATTGCTAAATGACCTGTATTCGTTATGTCTTTCAAGAAGGTAAACTGAATAACGAGAAACCCGGTCTTAAATGCGTATGTTTGTTGTTTTGTTTGAACTGAAAAAAAACAGCAAAGCGATATTTGAAAAGTGAACTGGCGCTTCGTTGTTATTATAATCAAAGTTCAAAATTGTATTCCTAGTACGATGTGAGCTGAACAGATATATTATTGGTGTAGGAAGTGGTTTGTTGAAATTGTAGAATTTTCATGGTTTCAATCACAAACCGATCTCAGCTAGACCACAGTGGAAGCCTAGAAGCACTAGGCAGCTGTATTGGTTTTATGTAGTATTCTTCAATAATGCGGATTTGAGAATCGAGTCCAAATCCTTCAGTCTCGTGTGCGAACGCTAAACTTTCAGACCACAGAAGTGTTAATGTCGTACTCCGTTGAATGGGCAATATTGCACAACTCTTCTTCTTTCGGTGGTTAACTGTCTCACTTTGATTGAACTCTGCTGGTCTCTAGCCATCTAGTGCTTCCTGGCTTCTGTGGTGATTCAGCTGAGATCAGTTAGTAACTTACCAGTCGAGTCAGAGCTTATGGCCAACTGTCATCTGTTTTTGCAACCTCAAGTGGTATCCGTTAAGGCTGTCCACTATCTCCATTTTCGTTTAACTTCATCATAGATGTACTGATGGAAATAATATTTTCGTTAACTGAATTTTCAGGCATTGATCTTGCAGGACGTCCACTTATCGACTCAGAATATGCAGATGACATAGTCCTGTTTGGTGAAGACGCTGATAAAATGCAGTCTTTTCGTATCACTGAGCAACAATGTCAGGATGTTTGGAATTCATCTCCCCCCTCTGATAAATGTGCTGCTTCAGAACTGACCTACGTCAACACCTGAACTAAGGGTAGGGAATGAAGTAGTCGAACGCGTTGACAACTTCACTATTCCTGAAAGTCTGATCAGCCGTGATACTTTGATGTCTGACGAAATCTCTACACGGATTCAAAGAACTCATTTGGCTTTTGTCAACTTACGTCACCTATGGGTTGAGTATACTGCTCAGCAGTTCGTTCTGTTTTACTTTACGACTGCGAAACGTGGCTATTAAGAGTAGAAGATACCTTAGAAACATTGGTCGCATCTTCTGGGATCACTGGGTAAGTAATAGTAAGGTTAGAAACAGGGTATTGGGGAATGATTGTAAATCAGTTGATGAGGTTGTGAATCTTCATCGACTGAGACGGACGGGCCTTGTGTTGCGCATGCCTGAACACCGATTACCACGATGTGCAATGTTGGAGATGGCTGTAAGAAAGTTAGGGGCGGCCAAACCAAAACATGGTATCAGTGCTTGAATTCACTAACTTCTAGTCTGAGCTATGTTGGTAGGTGCAGACTACTTGGTTGGGGTCCATGTGACTATCGTAACGAATTGTTAGAGATTTTGTGTGACATGGCTCAGAATCGATTACAATGGCGTAGGTGTATACACTCTTTGTCTTCACTTAAACCGTGAGATTAAAATTGCTTTATTCTTGCACCATATCCTTTTTCACAATCTCTCTTTTGTATGTTACTACCAGTGAAGTAACTAATTTTATGAATCCAGCGTTCATCTTGTTGTGCTAATGAGTGAGGTATGGCAACTTGGATCGATGCCCATATATACCTGGTCCTATGTTGTAGCTGACTGGCTTAAACTGTGAAGGTTTATAATTGCCTTTTCTTCGATGATACACAAATATCCCTGTGATCTGAAATAATTTGTTTGTTATGTCCACCTCTATTCGGACTACACGTGAATAACATATAAGCCTATATACATTTTTAATTGATTCCCTAATATTTTTATCCTTCACTCCAGATGTTCAACACGTGATCTACATGACATCGGAAACTGTCATTTTGTTTGCGATTGATGTAATCGTTAAGAATATTTTTAAAATGATGCAAAACGATCATTTGATTCTATAATTCAGGGAGATTCAGTCTTGATGTTAGATGGTAAAATATGAAGCGATATCCAATGAAAATTATCAAAAACATTGATTCAGCCTCGAATTACTGTCTTCCCGATCGGTATTAGTAAACACTATGTGGTTTGGAACTTTGTTTTCAAAGATACTTGAAACTGACGTTCATATTATCGTTTTTTCTTAGATTCCATGTAATATAAGGCTAGTATATTCATTGGATTTTTAACCACGTTCCATCTCATATCTACTTCAATATTTATCTGGTTTAATTCAGTAAGACCACGCCTAAATGGGCGAGTTGGAGCACGATGGATAATAACGAGACAACACACCAAAAAGGCGATTCATCATATTAATCGAATAATTTTAAGAAATTGGTAACAAATGTCAAAGGGATAAACACTAAAGGGAGTGGGCGCTTTGTTTTGTCAGTATAGGATTGTGGAGCTTGTCGAGTTTCAATGAGGTCATTAAATCATCAATGTTAGACCGTCATTGAAAACATGTTGGTCTAGCATTAATTGGTCCATGATGTCAGTCAAATTCGTTTTGAAATAATTCATTTAGATATTGATTACATTGCAAATGACAAAAAGCGGTGAAGTACGTGACTGAATTGCAGCTGGTTATTTGAAGTGAAAGTGTGAATGTACATAGAAAAACTAGTATTTATTTGTTCTAGAATAGATTATCTCACCAAAGTTTTGAAATAAGAGAATTATATAGAAAATCAACAAGTAACACTTTATTTTGTACACGGCACCGAGTTCTACCACACAAAATATAAAGTTGCCACAGATAGGACTTTAGGTAGGTACGGAAAAGTGATCAAGAGAATATAAGTTCAGGCAGCTTCGCTAACATTAGCGATATATCAGTCGAATATTGATTTCTGTTCTTGTGGCATATACGGTATTCGGAATATAGCAAACAATCCGAACAGTACAACAGTGTCACTGAATTTCCCCCAGATACGAGTTAATTGAATGCAATAAACCTCTGATATGTGTATGAGATGATCATGGGAGCAAGGGATTTTCTTTGAAATCATTGTGGATCTGTTCTGTCTTTCCGTCCGTCGGTAACATCGACGTCTACGTCATTACTGAATTGGATAGTGTTAGGATGTTCGGAAAAATATACCAATAATTATCAAGAATATTAAGGGTAACACAAATCACTTACTAACCAAGCAGCACCGAGACTCTTCAACGAAACTAAGAAAATATGAAACCCTGATCATAAGCAAACCAGATAAAGGAGGAGGTATAGTTCTCATGAACAAAAAGGATTACATCGAAAAAATAGGGGCTGTTGGGATATTCAGAAAAATATCCCAACAACTATCCTATTAAGTCTAATGGTGTCCTTGGATTTCAAATGGAAATTTCCTATTGGTCAATATTTATTTCACTTGTCAAATATCGTACAAATGTTGTTTTCTATTTTATGGTACGATGTGGTCTGGTTGATCGGTATATAAATAGAGTATGTCTGGAATGTAAAGATTCATAACTCAGAGGCTGAGACTTGTGTTCTGGACTCAACTGGCTGGATTAGACAGCGAAGCAGGGCCAATCGGGACTCTAGGTCGTTCGTATGTGTTTTACGTGTCACTGAATCGATCGATAAATACGCTTCACTCTAATCTGCAGTCACACGTAACAACCGATAATCTACTGAAATCACAATTCCCCGTACAGTATCTAGAAAAAATCAAGGCAATACCAAGTATTTTGTAGAGACCAACAAGATATGACCTAATTACTGACACCACTCAGACAAACTTATGGAAATTCACTGATGCTCTAAAATATCGTCTCAACTACAGTGAACTGAAAGCAGATCGGTTCGTTGCGAAATCCAGCATCACCATTTAAAAAAGAAAATTAAAATAGGACAGCACCATTTTTTAAACTAGTCGTCGATTATGGAGGCAGATCGATAGTATACTATTTACGCACAATAACACACGATGAAAATTGTACATTTAGATATATTAATCTGTGTTATAAAGGTTGAGACTAATTAAGAACACTTTCATCTTTATTGAGTCTATAATATGTTTTATTACGTTCTTTTCGACTCTCTCAACAAAGCGTTCTCTTATTGCAGGATATTGAGACGGCTATGATAGAATTACTTGGACTTGTTTACGTCATTTTTATTAATTAACTTTTCTGACATTTATAGGTTACGCCAGGATGAAATAAATTCATGAAAACATGTCAGTAACAAAAGTCTAGGTGGTTTAACCCATTCAACCATGCTGAAGGATAATAGCCGAATGTTCAGACAGCCATTAGTAATCTTTAATATGTTCATAAGGTTTGGAAATCGCTGATCAATTTTTCATTGCAATGCTCATGAAGTCACTGTCACATTTAAAATGGCTGTCAGTAGACGTTCATCATTAGTGTACTTGAACAGGTTTTTTCCGTTACATTTCAGTGGTTCATTAATGTTAAAATTAGTAAGAAAAGTGGCCTGAGATTATAAAACCTCAGTCGATTTCATACGTTTCTCGATTTTTTATCTCTTGAACTCTGACCTTCATGGACAGTCCACCAACCAGAATAGTAGGCAAAACAACTATGACAACTAAAGTTGCATTTTATTGGGACTGAAATACCTGGTGTGCTTTTCGCCCTTTGTAAGCATCAGCCAAATATACCTGCGCTCATGGTTAAAGTTCATTCAAGGACTCGAACTTGGTAATGTTCTCTAGAACCGCTATCTCATTATGCACGCGGCTACAGAGTTCAGATAGCCACTAGCTTGTGCAGTAATAGTCATGGCACTCAAGGAAGTTTTTTGTCTTTTGTAAAAGCAATACTTAGACATCACAGCATAGTTATTATCTTATGAGTTATCGATTTTATTCAGCGGTCATAATAATGACAAATTGTGAAAGACTCCAGTAACATTTGTCATTTCACCAGAACTAAGAAGCTGTAGTTATAATCTGGGGTTAGATTCAGTCTGGCGGCAAATAAATCATCAAAAGACATAGTTCTGTAAGTCTTAGTCGC